CAATACATACATACATTTTTATTTTTCGTAATGTATCATATAGTATTGTACTGTATTGTTTTGATATATACAATATTTGGATGGATTGTATTGTTTGACGTCGTTTCAAGATGTCATGTAACAACAATACGAAGAATAAACTTGTAATATTATTTTAAAAAAATAAAGTACGAGGTAATATTATAATTATAAAAAAATGGCAAGATAGAGAAAAATAAGGTAATGACGCGGCCACACCAATGACCATAAAGTGACACTTTTCGTTGTTGCGTAACAATGAATTTAACCATACAATACAATAAAATTTAAATAACAATCAAAACAAACATTGTATTTAAAGTAATAGTACGATACAATACAACATGTAACAACCATCCAAACAAGCTGTAAGTGGAATTGCATCACTTTCTTGTTCACTTTGTTCATTTCGTTAAACAGACATGAAATTAACTAGTTTTGGTTCTGGTTTAAAGAATAGAGAGTTAATCAAGACTGAGGAAATTGAACATAATATTGAAAACAGGAGTAATTAACATACTTGGAATCTTTGGTTTGTAGAAAACCAATCCTTGAATTTTCAGCATTATCTTGAAAATTATCGTAGATTTCATTCTTTTCCAGTAAATGATCAAGGAGCCCTGAATTGTCTTCCCTTTCAGACATTTTCAATTTCTTTATTTTTTGCTTCAAATTCTTTTGATAATATGATATAAATCCCTTTAGACGTAGAAGAATACAGAAGAGCTAATGGAAATTTGGTTGTCAACTTTATATCGTAATTTATAGCTCAAATCTGAGGTGTGTAGTGCACCCTCACTTATTCAAAGCACATTTTCTTTATTTCCCAAAATTTTTTAGTGTTTGAATTTTAGCTATATATGACATTGACAATCACCCTTTTGAAATATTTAACCTAAATAATTAGTATACCCCAATTAGTAATTTTTCCAAGTCAATTGACAGGAAAAGGTTCAAGCATTATATAATTAAGTTAAAATATTTTCTCATTTTCTGAGATATATTACAAAATCTTATTGAGCTGTACACGTCCATATTAATAGTGGAAAGTTTCTTAAACACTTCAAAAGTCTTCAAAAAAATTGGTCGGTTAAATTATTTGAATTTTTCTTTTGAGATTTTTAGGAATTTTTAATGTTTGAAAGCGCCTGTTCTTATTAAAATAAAACAAAAATATTAGGAGACACTCACAAATATTTCTTCACAACATTTATCCAAAAACTTATCCAAAAAGTTCTCCAAACGCAGCTTATTGCCACCCAACAGGACCGAGAGAGGACATGACTTTTTGAATTTATGATATACTATATTCAAATAGGAATATAAGATGGGAATGTCATGCGTGCAACTTTTCTATATGTGGAAATTTTCATAAACACTTTGAAAAGTCTCAAAAATATTTGCTCAGATAATTTTTCCATTTTTTTTCTTTGAGATTTTTAGAAAATACTAAGTTGGAAAGTGCCTTTTCTTTATAAAAAAAATAACATAAATAAAAAAAGAAGAGGAAACTCACATGATTGAAAAGGAAAAAAAAAAATAGAAGTAGCCGAATAAGTTTTTGTTTTGCACAAACATTCCGATCATTCATCCAAAAGCTTTTTCTAAAAGTTCTCCAAACGAGATAGCATTCATAGGATGTTGAGATGGACGTGCGTGTTAGGATCGGAATGATCAAGTGTCATGCGGAAACTAGTAAAGTAAACCTTGAATGACGGTAAATCAGACGACAAAAGAGCAATTTACTAAAAGAGACACAAACATTTAACGTGGTTCGGTTAAGTGACATACGTCCACGGCGGAGATGAGCAATCCACTATAATAAAAAGAGAGTACAAAATATCGAGAGAACAACCTCACGAAGAGCCAAACAAAAGTGACACACTGACACTTGTCCCATAAAGTTCTCCCCCTAAACACGACTCTCAAGCCTCATATGGCTACATTGTGGATGCTACTGAATGAGAAAGACGAATCTTATTATAGAACTCCAAACATTTTCCTACAAGAAAAGAGACTAGCCAAATATGGAAGAATTATATTTTCCTTCTAGGAAAAGAAAAAAATCAATTATGGTAAATATGTTGTCCTTTCCTTCATGAGATAGGAAAACCAATTATCGTAAGGAAATCTGGACAAACACCTAACAGTGCGGGCACACCAGGTTAGATAGGATCATGAATGAAATTATTCCGGACAAGGTGGGTGTGGCCCCTATTGAGGACAAGATGTGGGAAGCACGACTTAGATGATTTGGACATGTGAGGAGGAGAAACACATACTCCCCGGTAAGGAGGTGTGAGGGGTTGACATTGGAGGGCCTTAGGAGAGGTAGAGGTAGGCCGAAGTAGAGTTGGAGTGAGGTGATTAGGCATGACATGCCGTAGCTACAGCTGGCCGAAGACATGACCCTAGATAGAAAGGCGTGGAGATCGAGGATTAAGATAGTAGGTTAAGTAGTTCAGATGATTCATAACGTTAGTGTTACTACGTACTCTCGCATTTGGTTGATATTAGGTTTCTTTGAATATTTGTTTTTTTAATTTTTTTTATTTCGATCATCTTACTATCTTGTTATATATGCTACTTTTTAGATGGCTTCTCGGTGTTATCCTGTCTTATTTTCTTGTTATTATTGTGGTACTTGTGCTTTCATGAGCCGAGGGTCTATTGGAAACTGTCTCTCTACCTCCACAAGGAATAAGGTCTGCGTACACACTACCCTCCCGAGACCCCCACTATATAAAATTATATTGAGTATGTTATTGTTATTGTTACTGTTGTTGAGATAGCATTCATTAGAAAGTAAAAAAAAAATGTTGAATAACAATATTTTAGGACACAATGATACTATAGGTGTCAAATGCATGGGCGGGTTGGGCTATATTAATTTGGGCATTTGCAGCTCATAGGATTCCAAACTTTTAGAATCACTAACTTAATTTATGCTCAAATGACTTGTAAATGGATATACCTAGTCTGATCGGACATGTTAAACAGATTATAGAGAAATTAACTTGAATAGTCATCCACTCAAAATTTTAGACGGCAAATATATATAATATTGTATATACTATATGTATATTGGCTGGGAAATATAAATATTCTCAATCCAACGGCCAAATATATAAGTTTTCCTATACTTTACGGGTTAAAATTATTATTGAAAAATAGCTAGCGTTTGCAAAGTCATTAAAAATACTCATTATTTTGTTGCAACACAGAAGATTCCAGTATAACATGCTGGATTATAGAGCTCTTGCGTATAAACTTCCAATATATTATGTTGGAATTCCAGCACACGGAAAATTTTAGCATAATATGCTGGATATGAGCTCATGCGTATAAACTTCCAGCATATTATGTTGGAACTCCAACACATTATGCCGGAATCTCAATCTCATATGTAAAATATTTGACATTCAGCATATTATGCTGAAATTTTCCGGATTTTTAGGGGTATTTTTGTTCATATTTTATTTTTACATGAAAAGGTGGTTAAATTTTGATTACTTTTAAAACTGTAGCTATTTTTCAATTATCAGTGTAAATATGAGTGAAATTCAAAATTAGCCAGATTTACAAGTGGTACTTGAAAAATAGCCATAATTTCAAAAGTAATCGAGATTTAACCACTTTTCATGTAAAGATAAATCTGAACGAAAATACTGTTCAAAACCTGGAAAATATTCTGAACTTTTAGTATAATATACTGGAGTTCCAGCATAATATACTGGAGTTCCAGCATAATATACTCGTCCAGGATAATATGCTGGAAGTTTATACGCATATGCTCTAATCTCCAATATATTATGCTGGAAATTTTCGCGTTGCAGTAAAATAGTGGCTACTTTCAATAACTTTGCATACGCTGACTATTTTTTAATTACTAGTCTGAAAAAATGGCTAGCCCTATTTTCACCTAGGCTATTTTCTGACACTTCTGAATGATATTATGATTAAAATTTCCATGCGCCTCCAGAAAAGCATAGTGCTCTCTAGGACTGTGCATAATTTGGTAAATACCAAATTACCATACCAAAATTAAAAATTTTGGTATTTGGTATTTTGATATTTTGGTATTTGGTTTACATTTTAAAAAACTTTGGTATTAGATATGGTATTTGATATTTTTTTTTTAAAATACCGAAGTACCGACATCGCACTGGAATATATATTGGATTAGTTTTAAATATCTTGTCATCCTTGCAGCCCTCAGTTACCAGAGAGCTTCAGTAGAATATTTCTAGTTCCATGTTATTTTGTTGAAGTCTGTGCGCCACGTATTTTTGTCTATGTGGTTAATGGATGTTACCCCAATAGTTTTTGTAAACAATACTTGTGAAAGACTTATTTTGATCACATTTTAAGAAGCTTATTGGTGCCCGGTATATTACGGAAATGCAAGTTAGAGCTTTAGACCAGACAAACTTATATGTTGATGAAGTTTGTAAATATTATTTTAATCTTATGCTCTTATTTATAGAAGTCCCATATATGTTGTGCAGTGCTGTAACATTCATAAGATTGATTTTACTGCCCCAAAATATAACGTTCTGAAGCTGCTTTAGAACCGAATAAACCGAAGTTACCATACCGAATAAATCGAAACAGAAAGGCGAAAAACCGAACCATATCGAATCTAATTAGGTACGGTATTTGTATAGCATTTTAGAATATCAAATACCGAAAATATTGAACCGAAATATCTAAATATCGTACCGTACCGACCGACGAACACCCTGCTCTCCCTCCTCCTTCTTCTTCTTTTTTTTTTCTTTTTAAATTTAAATTTTGATTTTATAAAATATATCTTTTTTGGACAAAGCAAAAGAAAAAATAATTGCTAATTTCAAATAAGAAAAAGAGAATGTAACAGGGCGGACCATCTGTGGGTATATGACTTTTTTTAACTATATTTTAAAATATAAGATGGGGGGAGTCATGGGTGCAACAACTAATGTTGCAAATTGATGCCCACCCCTTTTCATGTCTCTCCCACAAGACTCGTTCTAATAATTCTCTTTCTCTCTGTTTTTTTATCTTTTATTCCTTTCATCCGTTCAATTACAGGACCTAAAATCTCATATTCATGACTTCTGTAAGTTTCTCTCTCTTCCAATCTTTTCAGTTCTTATTTTTTCTTTTGCATGAATTTTGCTTTGCTAGGAATATGAACGTTCTTGAATTTGTGTTTGGCTATTGAATAGTCATCCAATTAGATGAGATTACAAACGAGATTCAGGAATATGAAACCTTATAAAATTCCAAAACCCCAACCCTTATTTCTCCTTGAAGGAATTAAACGTTAAAATTTGTTTGATTCTGAGGTAAATCTTAGTTCATTTATTTTGCAGCATGTATAAGATTGTTTTGTTAATGCTGAATCAAAGATGGCATGGCTTTGACCATCTTATTCGCTTTTATTTTTATTCAACTTTCTGGTTTGCTCTCAGTTTTTGCTGAATTTGATTCATCAACTATTTGTACGCATTTTTTTTTAATTTTTATGGCCAGATGGAGCATCTTTAGTTTGTAATTGTTTCCTATTGGTTTAATAAAGATGTTTGATTGTTACTTTCTGTGTGAGCTTGCTCAAATAGCCGGTTCAAGTCCGGATAAAGGAGGAGCATTGTGGCAGACTGACAGCCAGCGTTAAATTAGTTAAATTTATGATGAATTCTAACAATACAAGAAAGACGAGCTTATATGGAGCAGTATGGTTCGTGATGATGCATATAACCGACCCGAAACTGATTGGGATTGAGGCGTAATTGTTGTAGTTGAAAGATGTTTACTAAACATCCCAATACATATAAGTTAGAGTACATGACTACATGTACAGAACAAAACATGAAGAAAGAACTTTATTTACTTGGCTAACTTACATGTCTTCATTTCTCTGTTTTTGACACCGTTTTCTAGCAAGAGAAAGGTCGGCCATTGCCGAAATTCGGGGAGTGGGATGTAAACAATCCAGCCTCGGCAGATGGATTCACCGTCATATTTGCAAAGGCTAGGGATGACAAAAAGGCCAATGGCACCGCTGCACCAACACAAGCGCCCAGGAATGACTATGCTTATGGACAATCTAATCCTTATCAGCAAGAACCCAAGGTATGCACTGGCTACCAAATCTTAATATTTCTTGTTTTGTGCTACAAGCATTCAAGAATGTTACTCTTCCATTTACCTGCAAATAATCACTATGCCATATTAACTATTTGCAGTTAAGATTTAGTTGTTCTTGTTGTTGACTTACAAATAGGTTCGACGTATGTTAGGAGTTCCATTTTAGTTCGGGTGTCCGTCAATGTAGAAATAATTGTTAGATTTAAAGAATACAATGAAAGAAAAAGGCCCAATGTTTGTTAGGAGTCTTTCTAATCTTATTAGAGATTTCTATGTCAGAAGAAAATGTAAAGAACTTCTGATGTTAGATAACCAAATTATTGAGCATTCTAGCGAAACGTGATCCTATAGCCAGACTTCAACTGCAGTATAGAATTAATGCGGGTTGATTAATTGATTGATTCTTAATACATCTATTATGTGCAGAAAAAATGGTTTTGCTGTTTCTGAAGCCAGAATGCTTCTGTGGCTGTGAGTGAAGAGACTTAAGATCATATTGAAGTTCAAGTCTGCCAGTCTAGGTACAGAGGTGGGAGAATGCGTGCTGCTGCTGCTGCTGCGTCTGTTTCTATTTTCGTCTATTGGTTTTATGTTGCATAAGGTTTCTTAAAAGTCTCTCTACAGTCCCCAATATGTACTTAGGGGAAGCGCCAACCAACTCTCACAAACACGCTAATGTATTGTGCTCAACGACAACCTTAGTCACTCTGTCGATTTATATCACCTCTCTAATAGAACATGGTCACTAGATTGAATGACATATCTTCTTTTCTGCTACGCTCAGAGCAAATAGCTGCTGTCTAGAATTTTCACTATGTGCTTCTACAATTAGGATATTGAAACTTGCTCGAGCTATATGGATTATGTATGTTGTACATTTTGATGATATTTGCCTCTTTAGTAGTCCATCAGGTTGGCTGCTGGTACATAAAGAAAGTTCTCATCTTTCATGCTTTAATTGCCTTGCCTTAAAACAAGGAAAGATCACAGTAGAGAAAGGCTAGTGTTAAAGGATGAACCAAATTAAATGGTTGTTCTAGAATGGCTATTCCTCACAATTGGTCTCTTTTGTCTCTAAAACGCTAGTGTTAAAGTCAAAGATCATTTAAGATACAGTGTTGTTAGAGTTCAAAGTAGAACGATAGAGAAAGAAAGAAAGTGAAGTATCCTAGTTGTCCAATAGACTCTCGAAGTTGCGGATAGACGTCTTTATACCGATCCGCAAGACTCTATTAGACATGTTCATGATTCGTGATACCAGAGCACCGACACCCGTAAAGTTCGATAAAATTCTATATATACATGTATATGTTGTTAGAAAATAGTAATATTAGTAGTGATACCATATATACAAAGCAAATTTTGGTTGAATGCAAATTTGCACCCGCTACCTTTAAATTAGAGGTGTCAAACGGGCCGGGTTGACCCGACCCGGCCCAGACGGTTGNTTGAATTTACTCTTTTTTCGTTAATTTACTTGTTGTTAAATATAAACCTTTCAATTTGTAAGTTTAAATTTTGAAATAAATGTAACACTTGCAATTTATAAGTGCAATTTTTTTCCATCTTCATTGTATTCTTTATATTTTTACTTTATATTAATATAAATTACAATAGTTATACAAAATACAAAAAAAAAAAAATACTAACCCCGGCCCGGCCCCTTGGACCCGTAACCTTTACGATTCATTTTTTACCCGGATGAACCCGAACCCGCTAAACCCGGTAACCCCTAACCCATAACCGGCCCGGTTCGAAACCCGGACGGTTTCAACTTTTCCCTACCCATCTCGGCCTGGCCCACCCGTTAGACACCCTTACTCTAAATCCTAGGTCTGCTTCTGCGTGAGACATGCAATCTAGTCTCTCATATCAAGCTGTCACAACCCAAACCACACCAATGACCGTCATGACATCTAATGTGTCAGTAGGGATGGCAAGGGCTACGGGGCAAGTTTTCTCTTAATCTACAAAATTTCAACTCGCTCCGCCCCGCATAGCAAATGCACCCGCGTTCACCTGCTCCGCATCCACACCCGCATCCACCCGCACTGCTTAACTTTTTTCCCCTTCATTTTGTTAGTTTATTTATTTTTTAATCTTTTGTCTGGAATTTTTTTATACATTTATAATATCTACTCATATTTTTTATTAATTTTAAAGATTACGGGAGGCTTCAGCTAAGGAAAGAAGAAGATATAGCTGAAAGAAGAAGATAAGATACTTAAGAGAGTTATATCTTGCACATATGTAATAAAAGTTACTTAACAAAAACTTTGATATGATAATAACGCTTTACTTTTAAATTTTTTATATTTGATAATAGAATATATATTATTTAAGCTAATCACTGGAATAATTCTTAAGCCGCTGGAATGTATAAATAAGTCACTTCTCTAATCCTCTGGAAAGTGGTCTTGATATGTAATTTTTGGATATTACATTTTCAGAACAATATGACGTGCAAGCATTTGGTTCAAATAACATGAAACTTTACTTTGCTTCAATATATTATTTGGAATCAATTTCATTTTCGTTAACGCAGAAAATTGAGTTTCCTTCTTCAATGAAGTTTTTAAACCTGCACCCACATTACCCGCACAGTTTTTAACTTTTTTTATTTTGACTCGCCCCGTCCACCTCGCACCTATCCACATCCGCACCGCCTCATCGCCATCCCTTGCGCAATAATTTTTTGTTATAAAAAAAGGGTAAACCATCAAATGTTCAGGTGATTTCTGAGTTTTCTCATTTTTTTCCTAGCATAATAACCTATTTTTGTTACCATATAGTCCTCAAATATCTCTCCTTTAATCAAAAGGATGTCGTTGACCCTACTGAAAAGGGAAAAGTAAATAATCCACGACACGAGCCAACCACGTTACTAGGAAATTATGGCGACCGGTTTAATCCGACGAGCGATTTCTAGGGTCCACTCATCGCCGGCGGCGAAGCTAGTTGTCGCCCGAGCCCACGCATCGGAGGCCAAAGCCCATCAATCAGAATCCAAGCAGCAGCCAAACATTAAGTCATTTCAAATTACCGATGGAGTCCAGACAACCCAGGTAAACCCGAGCTCAAGGAATACAAAATCGATCTGAAATAATGTGGCCCAATGGTTTTAGATGCTTTAATCAAAATCAAAAACGAAATCGACCCAACACTTACGTTTCGTAGATCCTGTAGAGAAGGGATCTGTAGGTCCTGTGCTATGAATATTGATGGTTGTAATGGACTTGCTTGTTTGACTAAGATCGATTCGGGTGCTGAATCGACGATTACGCCAACAACAACAACGACCCAGTATAATCCCACAAGTGGGGTCTGGAGAGGCCGTTGCCACATATGTTTGTCATTAAGGATCTGGTTGTGAATATGACTAATTTTTATAATCAGTACAAGCCTATTGAGCCTTGGTTGAAGAGGAAGACGGAGCCGCCGACTCCTGGGAAGGAGATACCGCTGAGTAAGAATGATAGGGCTAAGTTGGATGGGATGTACGAGTGTATTCTGGGTGCTTGCTGTAGTACATCATGCCCTAGTTACTGGTGGAATCCTGAGTCTTATCCTGGTTCCGCTGCAGCTCCACGCTAACCGGTAATATTTCTTCGGAAAAGGCCCAAATAGCCCCCGATACTTAGGACAAGGTCTATATATAACCCTGTTAAAAGTTTGGCCTATCACCAACCTTGCCGTTACACTATTGGCTTGGATATCCCTTTCTTTTAAACGGTTGCCACAGTAAATAAGTTATTCACTCAAAATATAACATGTAGAAATTAATATACACATAATCATTTTATTTTAACGCCCAACCCAACCCATTAACCCTACCCGTTACCCAACCCGTAAAACATTACCCCTCTCTTAATTAACCATACCCTTTTCTTCTCAAATCAGCTTTTCTTCTCAATCTCAACAAGGAGCTCACAGAGCTGGTGCTAATTCCGGTGCAAATCTGGACGAAGTATTCCTACCATCTTTCACCATTCAATTCCCAAAATATAAGTCAGGGATCTTCGAGTTCATCATATGGTTCGAGAAGGAAATGTTGTTGTGGAGTTGCTGCTAGCCAATTCACTGATTGGACTCCAAATAATGTCGGCAGACGATTTAACAAGTGTTCAATGCCTAAGGTAAATTTTATAAGAATTGTTTGTGTATTTTTGCTTAGGTAAATAATGCCGGTAGACAAAAATTGTCGATAATTTTATTCTAATTGTTGCGCAGGGACAGAAATGTAAGTTTTGGGAATGGGTAGATGATGAACTTCCTCTTAGAGTTATATCACTGATCAGTAACTTAAAGAATGAAAATGAAGCTCTTAGATGAGAAAGGAATCTTTTGCCGATGAAGGTTGTCGAGATTGAAAGCGTCTTAGCAGGGGATGTTGCAAAAGTTGAAGATTTCAAGGAATTAGATGATGTTAAAGGAGACAATGATGTTTCTAAGGAAAAAATTGATGGAGGTTTAGTGTTTGTGAAGGAAAGTAATCAGAAAAAATGGAATGTCATTGCTATGGTACGGTGTTGCTTCGTTGGGTTTATGTGTGCTTGGATGATGAAATAGCTAACTTAAGATCAACCAAAGTTTAGGTGTATTTGACATATTTAAGTGATTATGTAACCTATGTTCAAACAAGGTTTATGTATAACTGATATAATTAAGGTTTAATTTATGTTTTATGTTTTGGAATGAGGTTTATGTTCTACTGTCTAAGCTACACAATTCGCTCTGGTGAATTCCTATAAACTCGAAAACTAAATTTTTATATGCTGATGTTGATGGAAACTAAATTCAAAATTATGTTGTAAATTTCAGCAGCACCCACCTTCGATTGGATTCCTTCGCATTAGCAAAAACCTTAGTATTTCGGGCGGACTAGACGATAATGGAGGTGTGAAGTTTGGTAATTGTTGTAACGCTCCTCAAATTTATAAAAGTTTCGAGACACGCTAATTATAGAACTAAATTATTATTATTACTATTATTGTTATCTTGCTTATAGTGAAATATATATATATATATATATATATATATATATATATATACATATATACAATTAGGAAAATATTAATAATTTTAATATTATTAATTATTAAAAATAGGAATAATTAAATACTAGTTAAGTCAAAACAAAAAAAAACAAAAGAAAAAAAAAAGCCACGTGAGCCTTAAGCCCATAAAGGGCTCTTAGCAGGTAAAGGCGTGAGGGCCTCAGCCATAAAAGGCTGTGAAAAGGGGATTAAACAATTTCAAAATAGAACACTTACTAATGCAGAGCAAAAAGGGCGTAAAGCCTTATACGAAACAGAGGCAACCACGAAATTACAAGAAAAGTTCTAGGGTTCTTTACAAATCACTAATTCTTGAACTCAGGTATATAAAATTTCTTATTCTCAATTACCCTACAATAGTAATAGGTAAGAGTTGAATAGTTAATTCCCTTCTTTCTCTATATCAACAGTAAATCCCATATTTAGGTGTGAAACTTTGAAATTAATTAAAATGCACTGGTTATTGTAGAATCAATTGTTTGACGGGTAAAATTGGTCTGGGGTCTACGTATTGGCTCAAGGAGTATTGAGGTGAGTTGATATAACCCTTTACTAAAGTGGTTTAACTCACAAAAGCTCGCATACAAAGTGTTTGATGAATTGCTTAAAAGAGTTTATATTTACTTAATTGGAGTAAGTGAGAACCTATCAACTTAGAATTGTTCTAGTAAAAGTTTAGATGATTTATTATAATATATGTGCATAAATTTTCAGATTTTTGTGTTATTCTTATATGCTATTTTCGTGTTGAAAATTTATGAAGGAGCAAGAATCCTTAGAAGTACTTTTACATGTTTATTCCATTCTTATGACATGCTTTACATTTAAGGATACCAGCATGAACATGTACATGATGTTCTATAAAGAAAAGATTTAGACTTGAAAAGTCACAAGAAGAAGTTTTAGAAAGAAAAGATTTTTGGGAGTATCCTTTATTCAGAGAAGGGGTCATCGTCCAGGCCGAGGGTCTTGACCAAGGCTTTGACTTCCTGAAACTACTTGTGCCAAAGTAGGGAGCACACGAGCTGAAGGTCTCGTTGCTGAGAATTTACTTAGCCATGCTAAGGTATGATACATGAGCGCTGAGAACCATGAAGCGAGTGTCACCTCGTGGATTGGGCCTATTCGATCAGGTTGGGATCGAACCCGTGCCGATCACACGGTGACTGAGACAGAATTAAGTCAGGATAGTTGGAACTTCCAAAGTATAAAGTAAAGTATTTTTTTTATAAGAAAGAAAAAGAAAAGAATTTCTTTTAGAATATTCCTAAACTGCTATTATGCAATTATTTTAGAGTTGTTCTTATAAGCTTTATGCCTTATATGCATTTAGAATCTTTGCTCGTAATGTATATGTTATTAAAGTTTTGTCCCCTGTCGTTGAGACTCATTGAGTACAATGGATGTACTGACGTTCTCTTTTGGGAACCTACGTTGGTCTGCGGTACAACGTAGGAACCGGTTTTGCAGGTGAGCAGGCTACAGTTTAGGACTTCCCTCCCTTCCATTGCTATTGGTGAGCTCCGCTTTTGTTCGTGGAGTATTCCTTAGAGTCATCTTTATTTTGTTATTTCTTTGTTTACTTAGAGAACTGGCCAGGAAATCTCATGTCCTGAGCAGTGCGTCAGTTTATTAGTAGAGGCTTCATAGATGCAGACGGTTGGTTAAGATTCATATGTTTTGAATAATAACTTAAAGGTATTTTATTGGTTACTACAAATAAAGTTTTGAAGTTGGCTTATTTTAGATATTTAAATTATTTAAAAGTATTTGGTTACAGTAGTGCCTTGTGGCATATAAAGTTTGAAGTTATAATAGATTTGATAAGCGCAGATGGTTCGCTCGGTCATGTTTAGTGATTGGGTGCTGGTCCCGGCTTGTTCAGAAAATGAGCCGTGACAAACTTGGTATCAGAGCCTCGGGTTTATGGAGTCCTAAAGGTCTATGAAGCCGTGTTGGTAGAGTTTTGTTTATGGGTATGAAGCGCGTCATACTTATAAACAGGAGGCCACAAGCATTTAAGAAAAGTCTCATTTTTTCATACTTTAGATCGCGCAATAGAGCCTACCTCTAAAAAATTATCTAATGTATTCGTTTCTCCATAACTCGCAGAAATGGTTCGTACTCGCAACTCTGACACCGACACTCAGGATGTTGCTCAAGAAACTATTGCTACTATTGTGGCTCAAGGCAGAACTTAGAAAGCTTTACTCAGAAAAGGAAGGGTAGATCCACAAAAGTGGTCCAAGTACCCCGAGTTGAACATTTAGAAGGGGTGGATAATGATGAGCTAATATCTCGGGATCCAGTGCCGCCCCCAACAACAGCTCCGGCTCAAACAACTATATCCCCAGAGGTGTGTCAGATGTTTAATGCAGTCAACAGCGTTATGGAGATGTTTAAAGCCTTCATAGCCAACCAGAACGAGAGAAGAGATGAGATTCCACCTCAATCAAATAGACAGAACAATTTTGAGTCCTTAAGAGTGAATGAATATTTGAAGTTGAATCCTCCAGTGTTCCATAGTTCTATAGTTGATGAAGATCCAGTTTTATGTCTAGAGGGTGTGAAGAAAGCCCTCCGAGCGATGAAAGCATTTGATGTTGAAGCTGTAGAACTGGTTGCTTACCAGCTTAGAGATGTGGCTGACGCTTGGTTTGAGATGTGGGAAAAGGAAAGAGATGATGATGATTCGCTTACTTGGGAAGAATTTTAAGAGGCCTTCATGGATAACTTTATCCGGAAGAGGATAGGGAAGCTAAGGCTACAAAGTTCAAACAGCTCAAGCAAGGGAATAAAAGTGTTCAAGAGTACTACATGAAATTCATAAGGCTAGCTAAGCATGCCCCTCACATGGTTAAGACAGAAAAAGTAAAGATTCGCAGGTTTGTTGGTGGTTTAGCTTACCACATTAAGGATACGACATCAGCTGCAGTAGTAGGGATGACAGTCTTCTCCTCTGTTGTGGGATTTGCCAAGCACTTAGAAAAAGACAGACAACAAAGGAGAGAAGAAAAATCAGCAAAACAAGAAAGCCCGGACAGCGGGCGAGTTTAATGGTACATCCAGCGGAGGTGGAAGGGATTCCTCTAATAAGGAGTCATTAGCACCAGATCAGTCTAGTCATCAGTCAGGTGGTGGGTCTTCCTTCAGACGTACTCAGAGTTATGGAAATCAGTCTCGCTAGAATCAGAATTTTAGGACATCATCCTCACATAGCCAGAGTCATGCTGAGCAACATTCACACCAACAAGGTCTTTGTGGAACATGTAAGCGACAACATTCAGGTCAATGCCAGCTCGGGTTTCATGGTTGCTATCATTGCGGAGACATTGGTCATATAAAGGCCAACTGCCCAAAGTTGAGATGTAATTTCAGTGGGTGGTCAACTCGTCCTTTTAGTTCCTCAGCTGCTGCAATTGCACCACCTCAGGCTCGTGGTTCTCATGATCAGACCAGACATGTGGAAGGCGGAGGTGCAGATCGAGTTACTCAGGGAGGGGGACAACCCCGTTTGTTTGCTACACTTGATCGTTAGAGTGCAGAGACATCTGCAGAAGTTATTACAGGTATACTTTTGGTCTGCTCACATAATGCTTATGCCATAATGGATCCAGGTTCAATGTTTTCATATGTGACTCCATACTTTGCAATTAACCTCTAACTAGAACCTGAACAACTTAGTGAGTCATTCCTAGTATCTACTCCAGTTGGCGAGTCAGTGAAAGTTACAAGAGTCTATAGAGGTTGTATAGTTTCAGTCCAAGGTCGCAACACCAAAGCCGATTTCATAGAGTTAGAAATGGTGGATTTCGATGTAATCATGGGTATGGATTGGTTATCTTCCTGCTATGCCATGTTAGATTGTCATGTCAAGATATTTAGGTTCCAATTTCCAAATGAAGAAGTTTTAGAGTAGAAGGGTAGTTCAGCATCGCTTGTAGGTAAGTTTATTTCTTACCTTAAGGCATAACGAAAGATCGGTAAGGGGTGTCTCGCCTATTTGGCTCACATCATTAATCCATAATCAGAACCACCAGCTCTTCAGTCAGTGCCAGTTGTTAGAGAATTTCCAGAAGTTTTCCCAGATGACCTTCCCGGACTTCCTCCTGAAAGAATCATAGACTTTGGCATTGATCTCATGCCAGACACTCAGCCTATATCTATACCTCCTTATAGGATGGCTCCAGCAGAACTTAATGAGTTGAGAGAAGAGTTGAAAGACCTTCTAGACAAAGGCTTCATTAGGCCGAGTGTTTCACCGTGGGGTGCCCGGTCCTGTTTGTCAAGAAGAAAGATGGGTCTCTCAGAATGTGCATCGACTATCGGCAATTGAATAAAGTTACCATTAAGAACAAGTACCCACTGCCAAGAATTGATGATTTATTTGATCAACTTCAGGGTGCAAAGTACTTTTCAAAAATAAACTTGAGGTCGGGGTACCATCAGTTGAGAATCAGGGAAGAAGATATATCTAAAACAGCCTTTCGAACTCGCTACGGGCACTACTTCATGAACAGAGTTTTCAAGTCATTCCTTGATACCTTTATTATCGTTTTTATAGACGATATTTTGGTATACTCTAAGAGCAAGGATAAGCATGCCGAACACCTCAGAATAGCCTTGCAGACCTTGAAGGAGAATGAG